AAGTACCAATACTAATAAATACTGGCATGTTTTTTAAGCTAACTTGGTTTAAGCAGTCATTGTATTTAGCACTGGCCCGGTGGCCCATGGCCAGTGAAAATTAGTTAGGGGCCAGTAAATTCAAAATCTTAATTTCAATGACAGTTTAAGGCCAAAAAAACCCCATTACATTATGACTTAAAGTTGTCCTAAAAGACAATCATGTCATGACGTAAAAATCTCTATATAAGATACATTTAAAATTCATATTCACAAGATAAATACCTTACAGTGAATGTTTTTTGTTTTTGTTTTTTTTTTTAGGCCCCAACTGGGTAACCCCGTTTATTTACCCCGTAATAGGTATGAGAGGGTCGGGGTCATCCCTCTGATACCTTACATGATATCTACATAATACATACTACAGTAAATGTTACACTACGGAAAAAATGTGTTCTGTTATACACATTTAAAAGTTACTGATAATGATAATTATTGATTGATAAAACCAATTATCATGTCAGTTGCAATGAGTTCAATAACCAGTACATGTATAAGGTTGTTACCTGCATAGCATAAATCAGAACAAACTTTTGTTTCTATTATCACACATTTTTTTTTCAGACAAGTACAAAAAGGGCTGTAGAAACCACCGACCTAACTAAAAGTTTTGGCTGGGATAGTTCAGAAGGTGAGAAATTAGTGTTTAGTTTCTTACACAGTACATTTTGTATCTTTCTTTATGCACCACCATTTAACTTTAAAATAATGATTGTGAACATTGTATATATCCAACCATTGGGGTAAATTAATATTGCATCTGATTCCTATGATTCAGTTATGACCCTATTAGAAAAATGACATTTCACATACAGTTATTCCATTTTACAGTTCTCCTAGTCTGGTCGAAATCCCTATTGGGCCTTCATGGCCAAGTGGTTAGGGTCGCCAACTTCAAATAACTTGTTCATCACCAAGGCACTGTAGGTTTAAATCCCAGCAGGGGCCTTGAATTGGTTCTTGTGTGTTGGTGGTTCTATTCAGGTGCATGCTTATGCATGAAATAATACAGGTAAAGAAACCTGGTCTTCCCCCACCTGTAAAGCTGGAAAGTCACCATTAGACCTTTATATTGTTTGTGTGACTTGAAATCTAATGAAACAGTCAAGCAAACAGACCTGTTTTCTGGTCTGTTCGGCTCAAATATTATGAAAATCACACCTTTTTGGTGAAACAGATAAGAATTCTTACTGTCTAAAGTCTTAAAGATTTAAAGAAAATATCTTTTGAATGTTATTATAGAAATTTAATGAAACGAGTGGAACATGCAATAGTTAAATTAGCTTGAATAAAAGTGGTTGGTATTTAGTATCATATTCAAGTCTCAGAATAGAATGTCAGGAAAATTTTAAGCATCTCAAGTTAATCTTTGGGGGAAAAAAGTCTGATAAATGCACATTGACGCAGACAGTAATAGATGGCCTTTTGGCTTTTCCTGTAATTGTACATGTAATGTTTATTGAACCTGTGTTGATTGTGCTAACAAACATGATATATTTATAGAATGATACTTGTAAGTGATAATTTTAAATTATGTCTACAAATTCGTAAATACAACTGTACATGCTTTTTGACCTCAGTGGAGCTCCTATAAGGTAGATCATCCATTTGTATCATGTTATAGTTAAGCATCTTTTACTTCTTAAAAGAATAATTGTTATTAAACCATATGTTACAGTTTGGCAACAGCATGATGTACAGGAGTTATGTAGGGTTATGTTTGATGCCCTGGAAGTAACATGGCGTGGCACTGACCAGGAAAAACTTGTCAATCACCTGTACCAGGGCAAAATGAAAGATTATGTCAAATGTTTAGAGGTGAGAATCTGTGTGGCTTTAAAGTGTATCACAATAGATCATTGTTACTATGCACAGTTATCCTTACCAGGATCAGCAGAATTATCAATACCGCCTCCGTGGTTGCGAGGTTAGAGTCAATGACTTCTAATCCAGTTACCTCTCTGGCGTGGGTTCGATCCCCGGGAGATGCTTTGGTAGTTTAGCGCAAAGGAAGGTAGTCTAGTACTGGTGTAACTCTCCAGGAACGATGGTTAGGAAACTACCTGCCTATATGACTGAAATACTGTTGGGAAAAGGCGTAAAATGAAAACAAACAAAGCAGAATTATCAGAATCGACAGGGAATTACCGTAATCAGTCTGTAATTTTGTGATTTATGAACTTAAAGAATTTTCTTGCATTTTTATAAAATATAAACAATATCAATGATATTAAAAAGATTTTTTTTTTTTAAATAAAATCACTTTTGATTAATAAAACAAGAGATGTAAGATTTATGGATATTAAGGGAATGATACTGTCATTATATTTACACAGCCAGTAAAGTCGTCGGTTCTGTACGGACAAGTGATATTTTTCCAAGAATTAACTTTATAAATGTCAAAGAGGCAAGTAAAGAAAAGTTTCAGGTAAAATGTACAAGCATGTCTAAATCAGATTTTGTCGACCTTGCTGTAAGTGATTAATGAAACTTATACATGTAATATGAATTATTATACATTTCTTTACAGTGTGGAAATGAGAGTGCTAGGATAGACACATACCTTGATATACCTCTAGTCATACGACCTTTTGGATCTACAACTGCCTATAAAAGTGTTGTAAGTATTGGAAAAATGTGTCCTGTTAGTTTCAAATCTTTAATAATGGCCATGATAATTCTCCAGTATACGCAGTTCAACACTGTTATTAGTCTAATACCGGTTTACCGGAGGGGACTTTAGGTTTACCCTACGTCCGTCTGTCTGTCTGTCCGTCCGTCCACAAAACTGGATCCCGCGTTAACTTGAAAAGTACTGAAAATATTTTTATGAAACTTGATATATGGATAGATGGCAGTATGGAGATTATGCACGTCTTTTTCTTTTCTTCCTATGTTGAAAATTCTGGTTGCTATGGCAACAAATAGGCTGAAAATATGGCAAATTTTACACATAAACTGGATCCAGTGTTAACACAAAAAGTAATAGAAATATTTTTATGAAACTTGTAATATGGGTAGATGGCAGTCTGGAGATTATGCACGTCTTTTTCTTTTCTTCCTATGTTGAAAAAATTCTGGTTGCTATGGCAACACATAGACTGAAAATATGGCAAATTTTACACATTAAATGAATCCAGTGATAACTCAAAAAGTACTGGAAATATTTTTATGAAACTTGACATATGGGTAGATGGCAGTCCGGAGATTATGCATGTCTTATCTTTTCTTCCTATTTTGAAAAAAATATTGGTTGCTTTGGCAACAAATAGGCTTAAAACATGGCAAATATAACAATATTTGTGATTAGTCAAAAAGAGCTGAAAATTTTTATGAAATTGCATCTTTAATTCAAGAGTTATCTCCTCTTTATGAATTTTGCTTTTAAAAATGTAATATTTTGGTAATAGGGATGTTTCAAACATTAACTTTAGAGTGTCATTCAGTCCATCTGTCTGTCTGTTCATAAAAACTTTTTCCTGTGATCACTTTTAAAGAACATTTCCAACAAATTTACTTAAAATATAGAAAAATTGAAACATTAGTGAATGGCCAATGGCCCTTCATAATGTTGATGGGGTTCTAACCGGTAGGGGACTTATGGATTGCTTGCAATACTATGATAATTGCTTGTTTTTAATTAGTTATTTAGATAAAGGCTGTCTCACTCAAATTAATAATCACATGAAATTTTATCACTAAAGACTATATGCAATTTTATCAAGGTTTGAAATTATGTTAAAAATATAACAAAAAGAGTTTTAGGTTTATGACATTATGAACTGAATTGAAACTACAACTATGCAATGTAAAACAAACTTGTTTCGATGCAAAATTGTCAATGGTTTCTAGGATATTAAATTATAAGTAGCGTTTCTTTATAAACATTCAAATTTTTATACTTGCCATGTCGGACTAGCATTTGCAAAATTTAACTCACCAGATGACCAAATTTTGTACTTTTCAAACCCTGCTCATTAGATCAGTCAAATCAAGGTGGGAAATTTATTATAATGATAATCTTATACCAATGCTTGTCACATTGTAAAAAATTTGAAGTATAAATTGATATTTTACAGACAGAGGCTCTAGAAGCATTTGTTCAGCCAGAGATTCTAGAAGGTCGAGATCAGTATTTCTGTGAAAAATGTAATAAAAAATGTGATGCCCATAAGGTAAGGAAATCATATGGTGTATACAAAACAGTTTGATTTTATAGATATATGAAGGAACGATGATATTTATAGATTTTATTCCATAGTCTGTACATTCAAAATATGCTTAAATGATTCAGTTTTGAATATTTTATTCAGGTAAGCATATAAATTAATAGGTTTTTTTTAGGGCTGGATCAATATACCGGTAAATCGGTATTTATCGATTTTCCGTTTTTCAATACGGTACGGTTATCGGGTTTTAGCCATACCCATACAAAGGGAGACAACCAAATAACTTATAAACATGATGGCTTTACATTAAAACTATCGTCTTTAAAATGTCAGCACAAAAGTTAAAAGTGTGGAATTTTCTCAAAAGTAAATGTTAAGAAGGCCCTCAACAATATTTGAAAGGCTGCAGTGACTAGTTTAGATGGAACAACGAATATGTCAATACAAAAAATGACGGATAAATCTCGTGACATAATTGGTCCGGCAATTCAATCTCCTATTACTAAAACTGGAAAAAATACCTTCAGGTCGGCAGTAGTTTTTATTAGACCAAACAGTTACTTGTAGTTTAATCAAACACATATTGTGAACACATAAATCCTACAAATTTATTGATTTTCCAAGATGTAGTTTGCTAACTAAATAAATGTGACTGCGCGAAGACGTAGCTAAAATTAGTTTCCCGGTACGTTACGGATTACGACACCAAATGAAGTCCTCAACATCATTACATGATATTTCAATTTTAATGTAATTTTACCGTTTAAGATAGAAAAAAACATGATTTATTAGAAAAAATTCAATGTTCCATTACTATCTCAGCGTATATATTTCAAATTTTACAAAAATTCAGAACAGTTAACTTGTAGACAGTACTAGACTCCTGCCATAATAAATAGTGATGTTTTAATTATTTTCTGCTTTAACTTTTCCTAGTATTTACATTATCATATTTTTGCATTGAATTATTTTAACAAAGCTTTTTTATTTTTTTATTTTTTCAAAATAATTGTTTTATCTAAAAAAGGGGCCATTTTGTCATTTTCAAAATAGTATCTCAAAATTACTAATTAAGGTACCTATGCACCTGCTATATATTATATAACATCATAAACAAATTCAAAATCTAAAACAGATATAAGAAAGATTCAATAATATTTCACCAGGACAACTGTGAAATGTAAAAAGTACTTTTAATATATACATCCTAACAATGAAGTATCATTGTACTGTATCGTCAATACGTATTGTGTATCGCGGGTCTGTATCGCAATACGTATCGTATCGGAAATTTCTGATCAATACCCAGCCCTAGTTTTTTTGATGCATACCTAAACCCCCACACAAATGCTTGTTTATATACTCTTATTTACTTGTGGTGCCAATAATGATTTATTCAAACTTGCAACAACCTGTGAAAAAGAGTCCTTAAGACTACTTTCACAAGTAATGCTAGAATGTAGCTATATAGCTATACTGTTAATGGCTATGATGAATAAGATAGAAAAGGTCATCAGATGTTTTATGTCCATGTCAACATAAATTGTTTACAGAGTCAGTTATTTAAATTTATTTCAGGGCTTAAAGTTTTTAGAGTTTCCATACATGTTGACGTTACAAATGAAGAGGTTTGATTTTGACTATGCTACCATGCACAGGATCAAGCTTAATGATAAGTAAGTAAAAATTTTGTATGTAACTTGGGTGAAGTTAGAGATCTTATGTTCATATGTTTCATCATCCTGACCACAAAAAATCTTGATTCTTTGAATTCTGTTGATATTGGTGGGATACCAATATTAACAGAATGCCTGGCCATAAGTCCTTAGATGGGGTGGTCATGACGAGTAGACAGTCCCCTATTATACTTTACATCTTTGAAAATAACAGTTCAGAAGCCTATGACTAGTTGCCATTTTGAGAGGCAAACATGTTTTTTAGAAAAAAAAACATAGCTTGATTCTGCAAAGTTAAGGCAGTTTTGGGAAACTTAAGAAATGTTCAAGGTTAAGTTTTGATAGTTTTTTCAATGGCCTCTATTTCATGCAAAAAAAGGTCACAGTTTGGTAGAATTTGTTTTAAAATTGATAAATAAAATCCAGGCTTTATTGACCATTATGTTGACTTTGTCTTAAACACTGGTTGAACAGTATATAAGATAGTTATTTGTAATAAAACATGGCCAGCCTGCTCTATTTTTTATTCAGAATGACATTTCCTGAGGTGCTAAATCTGAACTATTTAATTGATGGTGTTTCTGAGGAAAGTACAGGGGAAGAGGAGGCCCCTTCTGTCACTGACAGTACGGGAAAAGACCAATGTAATGATGATGGTTTGTTATCAGTATTTCTTATTGTTTAATTCTTACTTATATTTTTGTCTGAAAATTTTTTCATAAGAAGAAGAAAAAAAAGATATAAAAAACAGTTAATAGAATTGGGAACTTTTTTGTAAGGACTAACTTGGTCACTTTATAAAGCAAGGTACTTTACAAAACAAGGTTTCCTTTTCCTTTTCAAGGTATTTGAACTTATTTAAAACATACCAAAATAAAGTACCCTACAATAGTTCAGTTACAAAGGTTTTCACAAGAAGACCTACTTAATATTTCATTTCCACAAATGCATGACATAACTACAGTTATATGTTTAAGACACTTTATATTTTCTTATTTCAACATTTATATGCCATACTGTCAATTTAGTATATGTTGTTCTAGTTCTTATTCAGGCAAAGTGCTATATATGTCTTAATGCCCCACTAACCACTGTTATTGAGTGTTCAAAGTGTGAGTAATGATGTTATATATTTGCAGCAATAGATGAAGGTATAGAGATGGAGGTGTCCAGCTCGGCTGGATCAATCAATGAAGAATCTAGTCCCTCTAATGACACTCTCAATGACAGAAATGCCCAGCATTCAAATGTCAAGGTAAGTCTTTAACCCTTGTCAAGGTCAGTCTTTAACCCATAACTTGCTCAAATTGTCTAATGGATTTGTCCAGCTTTGAATTTGGAACAGTCCATTTAAAGTTGAAGGGATCACAATAAAAGATGCAAAAAAATGAACTGGCAGCTGTATAGATACATGCTATAGGTTAAACTTAAATGGAAGACAAGAAAAAGAATCAAAGTGGAACAAACAACACAGGATAGGTTTTAAGGTTTATTTAATGATGATAACTGACGTTTCGACTCTCACGAGTCTTCATCAGGGTTATAAAATATCAGAATAATAGAAAAATCATTGTCTAACGTACAAAAATCGGGTATACTTTACGTCACGTGATTTGTTCTAAAAATAGTTTAAATTATGTCATTTTGGGTTTACCCCATAATCTATATTTAGCTGTATGCTTTTAAGAAAAAATACCGTAAATGGAATAAATGTTTATGTTAACGTCATTCAGTGTTTCTTTTTCATCCTGGCAATTGGTTGATGTGCTTGTGTGGCTGCTGCACGGCGACGGATTGTTACTTCTAAAGGGTGACAGTTGAAGTGGGGATAATTCCGGATCTATTATCATTTCTTTTAAAATTTCGTCCGTTGTTGATTTTGGTGTATTCTGTAGCCATGATTTAACGCCGGGTATTATACGGAATTTTGGTATGGTGGTTGCTTCAAAAGTTTTTTTCCAAGGTTTGATAGGTTTTATTTCAATGTTGTCGTGTTTTTTCTCTAATTTGGTGAGGTATCGTTTTTGTGGTTGTTTGTGTATCGTATTACTGTGTTTCTGGAGGTGTTCACGTCGGCTAAAAGAGTTGTTGCAGATGTAGCATATAAATCGTATTTTCGTGTCTTGGTGAATTTTAAAATGTCGGTTGAAGTTACTTTTTGATCCTTTCAGAAATTTGTTGCAGGTTTTACATTGTCGTAGTTTTTTTTGATATTTCAATGAAGTGTTCGTTGTTGGCTGTTAACTGTTGTTTCTGTAAATTACTTTGGATTTCCATTATTACTGTATTAAGTTGAGTCCGGATGGTGATCGTGTTTTAAATATTGATATAAGTGTTTCTTCAGTTCTGAGGCGGATGTTGACGTTCTTAGGTGTTGATAATAACATAGTTACGTCGACGTCATTAACGTTGTGTTCGTGTGTTGTGTAATGGCGGGAAACGGGTTTATAATTGTTGGCATTTTTTATGTCTGCGAAATGGCCATATAGACGTTCTCTTATAGTATTGCCGGTTTGTCCTACATATTGTATTCCACATTTGTTGCATGTTATTAAATAGATTAAACTGGATGAATTACAGTCATATGTGCCTTTGATATGAAAGTATTTTCCTGTTGAATGAATTTTAACATATGATTTACTGCTGATATGTTTGCATGCGATACAATTTCTTTTACATGGGTGTGATCCTTGTGGTTTCATCTGGGGATTGATGTCTGATTTTGTGAGTGTGTTTCTTAGGCATGCTGGTTTTCGAAATACTGTACATATTTTGTATTTATTAAACATTGTTAAAGTGGGGTCGTTTTCCAGGAGGTGGGTGTATTTAGAGATGATATTATTTGTTCTTAGAATAAGCGGGTTATGAGTAATTATAAGCGGTATAATTTCCTTTTGTGCTTTAGTATCGACATTGGTATCAAGATTGGTAATTTTGGCTTTTTTGATGGCTTCGTATATTAATTTTCTGGGATAACCGCGTGCAATAAGGTTTTCCGTAAGTTGTTTTGTGCATATTTAAATTGAAGACGTAAATACATAGGATTGTCCGGTAGGATGTTCGAGATTTTACTGTAATCTTTGATTGGATACCATGCCTCAATTTCTGTTCCTTATATGAACACTGTAAAAGTGCTTAATATGTAAAATGTTGATTATCCAAGTGTACCACATAGTGAAGTAGATTATTTTTTCACTTAATGGAACAACTGTATAATAATGTATCCAGTAAGCTTTCAAAGAGCCATTTATTCTTTGATTGTTGGGTGTTTAGACACAATTAAAGCTGTATGGCTATAATATAATATACTTATGAATTTATATTTATATTTCAGGGTCCATATGAATATGAGTTGTTTTCTATAATGATACACTCTGGTAGTGCAGCAGGTGGACATTACTATGCCTATATCAAGTAACATACCATATTTATTGTGTTTACTGATTTTAACATTACCTAAGAGCCACAATGTCTTCAGTATACTGACTTTAAACACTTGCCAATGATCACTATGTGTTCTCATTCTACTAGGGATGTTTATTTTGTTCATATGAGGAAACTATGTAGTTAGTATACAGTTTGTTTATTTTTCTACATAAACTATTGCCAATAATGTACAGAGTGGTATGAGGTCTTGCTTTACAAGTATATATTAAGATTTTGTCTGTGAAGCATACAATTCTTATCTGTTTAAACCAAGTAAGGTCTCCGTCGATCAGTAGAGTGAAAAGACAATAGTCACAATTGAATCATTAAATTGTCAATCTTACATAGTTTTCCAGTACATAGACAATACAATTATAATCTATGACAAATAAGTTAAAGCTAAACATCTACCCTAATAGAGTACATGTAATTTAAATGGTTTTACATTGTAATGTTTCTATCATATTTTCAGATGTTTGAGTGATGGTCAATGGTACAGCTTTAATGATCAACATGTCTCTAAAGTAAGTTTAACTCTCTGCACCCTGGACATTATAGTTATAGTGGTAACATGTAACCCAAAGGAAGCCTTATAATATTCACCATGAATAGTTAAATATTAACCATTAACCTGCTGAAATTGTGTATTGGAATTGTCCAGGTTTAAATTGAGCTTCCAAAGTACAGAACCTTGTCAGACTGCATAGTTTGGTCTGGCAAACTGGCACATTACTGGTGGTAAAGGCTAATCACTTCTGTTCTAAGTTCAGGTTAAGGGTTACAGATATTATTATGGCTTGAAAGAAAGAGATATTAAATTGAATGATAGTAAAAAAGTAAATTAGTGCTATTTAAATTAGAAAGTAACAAAAATTTGTATGTGTGCCTTGCAAAAAGATATGTTAATGGTTCTCTGTATATAAAAATTGCTGTTTGTAAATGTAATAAGAGGAAAATATGGGGGCTCTTTTGACTAGCAGTTCAGGTTTTCAACTGATTAACCTGTAGTTTCAAGTCCTGTCAAGAACTAATGTTTTCAAATGCTGAAGCTATCTGGCTATCTCAAGCAAGGTTGATGGTTATATTTATTCTTGCTTGAATAAAGCACTGAGGAGCAACTGGAGTTCTCCTCTACCAGTAAAGGTGAAATGTCACTATATGGTCTTCACAGTGTCATTGTGACTTAAAAACAATCCAATAAAAAAATGGAAGGGAAAATTTTATGTTCCTTCGTATTGAGAGCTTTTATTTGACTTAAGTGATTGCTTTGGTTTTATTTAATTGTTTAACACTGATACATATTTCAACAGATAACCTATGATGATATAAGAAAGACATATGGGGGAAGTTCTACAACCAGGGGATATTATTCTTCATCATATGCTAGGTAAGATATTGTTTACATTACATTTGTTTAAAACATGATGAAAATACTAATGTCTCCTTTCTTGTCTTTAGCAAACACTCCTTTGTTTCCTCCCTGAACTTAAATTATAGTTAGTGATGAATTGCAGATTTTGAAAAGTGCATGAATGGTATTTTCTTCTATAACTTTCACTGTATCTTATATACAAATTTACTTTCATTAATAATAGAAAGTCTATGCCTATTTTGATTGATTTGGTTTATGTTACGTTACAGCTCTGCCAATGCTTACATGTTAATGTACAGGAAAATTGATAAAGAAAAAAATATAGGTAAGTTATTGCTACTTTTTTCCTGTGATATACTTTTTGAATTTAACAAGATATTCAATGACTGATTTTAAACTGCTTACCTAATTTTGTACACATTTGATTATTAAAATCCTGCTTGTATTATAATTTTTCTAAATTAAACGACTTGGATACCATTTTACATTAGAAATATTTGAAATAAATGAAGATTCATAGGTTGTCTGTTAAAATCTGTGTACAGTGATTATAGACATAAAATTTGCTCTTTTTGCTTCATGATTTTGGCTTTGTTATGTCCGTGCAGAATTTCTGTAATGGACTTTTTGTTTTACATTTGAAATTGTTCCTTTTTAGTTTTAAGGAATTCAAATTTGCTATACTAAAATTTGGAAGCAGACAGTAAATGAGTTTGTTAAGTTTACAGGGATGCTCAGACTGTTGTAACTCTATTACTAGTGGTGTAGGAATGTCTATAATGCTCTGTAGGATGATAGTAGATATTATAAATACAGCCTGCTTTATATCGGCAGATTTCATGAGCGGGGAAGAATTTCCTGATCATGTGAAAGTTGAGCTTAGAAAACTTAATGATAAGGAAGAGGCAGACAGGAAACAAAAAGAAATGGACAAGTCAACTTGCAAGGTTTGTTATATATGTTTTCACATCTTTGTCTTAGAATTTTTCTATACATGTTATAAGGAAACTTTGAAAGAAAGATAAGAAATCGTTTGTTGACCATTCAGGATGCCAGTACTTAAACATTTTGGTTTTCAGTGATTTAACACATGTCATAGGTTTGCTAACATATGTTTGTTGTTTAACACTTAATGTAAGTTGTCATTTTAGCATTTACATTTTCAGTTACTTAACACTTATGTAAATAGTTGCTTAAAGCTTGGGCCATAAATCTATTAGATAGTAAAAGTATTAAACTTACAAATTATTTTGTGACATAATTTACTTTATGGCCTATTATTTTACATGGCCTGTCAATAGAAATAAATGTTCTTTCCACCTAAGATATGCAATATGATCAGTTGTTTGAAACTTTCCGTCTTTGTTGTAGAAAACTTCATATATTTAATCTGTAATTAATGAGCATCTGGTAAGCACTATACTTATAACTCAATGTATCTTTATTTTATGTAGCCTCAACTAAACCAGATAGGCTTTCTTGAAATCCTAAAAGCATACCCATAAGAACTGCATTTCTAAACTTTATGATTCCTTCTTCCATGTATATTTGAAATATATTTGTCATGGTTTTAGATAAAGATTTTCTGTGTACATCCTTCTCGGAAGAAGAAGCTGGACCATAAATTAGAGATTCATAAAGAAAAAACTCTGTCAGAGGCTACAGATCTAGCATACAAGGTAATATTATTGAACCAGAAATGGTTTCTACAAGTGTACAACAACATTTACAGTCTTAACAGGGACTGCGTTCAGGGCGAAGTCAGGCGAAAACTTCGCCGTAAATATTTTCACTTCGCCCTATATGATCTGAAAAGCGAAATTCTAGTCGCCCTAAAATCTCTATGAAATGTCTGACATGTATATTTCTCCACTCGATAATACTGCCTGGAGGCAGATTTAATTGTGTAATCTGACGTAATTAGCACACGCGCTGAAGCGTGGCCATAGCGACATTTGGAATTCACACTTGGAAATCCACATCGCTAAAAATAGCGCATTGATTATACGGTAAATTAAAGCTGTGAAAGACCCTGATATGAATGCAGCAGATGATAAAAACATGAAAAAGCAAGCTAATTGATAATTAAGTTACCTCAAACGTATATTTGTGTCTTATTTACAATATCCCCTGTACGTTTTGTTTGATTTACAGTATTCCCTAAACGTTTTGTTTGATTTACAATTTCCCCTATATGTCCTGTTTGATTTACTAGTTCCCCTATATGTCCTGTTTGATTTACTAGTTCCCCTATATGTCCTGTTTGATTTACAATATCCCATATACGTTTGTTATCACCATTACATTTATGATAGTAATATTCATCATTAAAACTGATGTAAATTGATAGAATTTGGATAATTATTATGAATTAAAGAACTTTTCTTCTTAATAAATTGCATTTAAAAGTTAGAGTCAGAAACTGTTGAACCTAAAAAAAAATTTAAAAATGTTGTGTTGATGTAAATCAAATGCTTAAATAAACTTTATTGAACAACTAATACTTCATTAAATATCATCATAGCGATTTCAAATACACATTTGTTTTTTATGCCCCCACAATGTGGGAGCATATAGCGTTGCACTTGTCCGTCCGTCAGTCTGTCAGTCCATCCGTCCGTACGTCCCGAAATCTTGTGAACGCAACTCCTCTTAAACGGGATGGCAGATTTTGCTTAAACTTACTGGGATGAACAACCTTAATGTGTAGATGGTAGTAAAAGAAGGAATTTTCGCTGCGACCAAATTTAACAGAATTATGGCCCTTTGTTGATTTTTTCACTAGATATATAGAAATTTTGTGAACGCAACTCCTCTTAAACCTGATGGCAGATTTTGCTTAAACTTACAGGGATGAACAACCTTAATGTGTAGATGTTAGTAAAGGAAGGAATTTTTGCTGCGACCAAATTTAACAGAATTATGGCCCTTTGTTGATTTTTTCACTATATACTATGTAGAAATTTTGTGAACGCAACTCCTCTTAAACCGGATGGCAGATTTTGCTTAAACTTACAGGATGAACAACCTTAAGGTGTAGATGGTAGTAAAGGAAGGAATTTTGCTGCGACCAAATTTTACAGAATTATGGCCCTTTGTTGATTTTTTCACTATATACTATGTAGAAATTTTGTGAATGCAACTCCTCTTAAACCGGATGGCAGATTTTGCTTAAACTTCCAGGGATGAACAACCTTAATGTGTAGATGGCAGTAAAGGAAGGAATTTTTGCTACAACCAAATTTAACAGAATTAAGGCCCTTTGTTGATTTTTTCATTATATACTATGTAGAAATTTTGTGAACGCAACTCCTCTTAAACCGGATGGCAGATTTTGCTTATACTTCCAGGGATTAACAACCTTAATGTGTAGATGGTAGTGAAGGAAGGAATTTTTGCTGCGACCAAATTTAACAGAATTATCGCCCTTTGTTGATTTTTAGTTTTCAACTTGTGGCACATGTAGTCCAAAAAATATTTGACCTAGAGTCATAAGATTGACAGAACAGTGGCGTGTGGGGGCATCCGTGTCCTATGGACACATTTCTAGTTTTCCATGCCATATACATGTATATTTTATATGCATGTACATATAAAGGTGTACATGTATATTTTGTGAAATAAAATTAGAAAAAAAATCCAATGATATAACTCGATTTGATGATCACTTCTCCCTCAATTTCAAAACTTCTCCCTATTTTTTCTGAAGGGAGAAGTCACTTCTCCCTAAATTTTCAGTCCAAGGTAGTCCCTGGTCTTAAACTTAAATCCATTCTAAGAACGTTAATAAAGCCCATTATGCCTCAGATATGCTATCATATTTTTTTTTTTTTTAACTTTTATTTTTGGTATCTTATAGTAGTTTCCAAAACATTAGTAATTTGCCATATAGATGAATTAACATTTGGTTCTGTTGCTATATTAGCGATTTGTATAATTATAATGAATTTTGTATGGAAGTCAAAATACTACTTAGTTCACATTTTGATACCTTTATGACACTTTACTGCACATTCAACACTACTTTCTTCATATTCTCTAAATCCATTATTAAAATTTTTTATATATATGTTTGACATTTTTAAAGAATTGAAAAAAAATATGGATAGGGTGTAACTAGATTTATCTATTAATTTTCTAGATATTTGAGTTGGAAGACTGTGTGACTAGAGACTGTTGTAGGATTGTCAAGTATGATGAATATCAAGATTCACTTGAGTGTTCTTTTGACAATTCTGATGATGTTCCCATGGAAACCTTACTGAATGGAGTAAAACAGAGCTACAGTTTTGATTTACTTCTAGAAACTAGAAGACCTGAGCAGAAAATTTCAGGAATATAAACCTGGAGGTAAGTAATCTTTTAGTGTATAGTTGATAAGTTTTTGTAGGGTTAGGTATTTATAGATAGGTGTCACAGTGGAAGTTTTATTGATTTGTAGGTGTTACAGTGAACATTCACTTTATTTAGGAAATAGATATCAATTTTGAGTGCATTGTTGTAAAATAATTCAGGGTTCGAGTTCAAATGCGTAGGAATATAATCACCAAGGCCGATAGCCCTGAGTGATTTATTTCAAAGCATTTGAATGATAAACCGTGCATTATTATACTGCAATGCAAGAAAAATTAATATCTATTTCCATTCTAATTTATATTCTAACACGACCCGCATTTTTCCCTATTGAACATAGAAGAACCGAAACTGTGTATTATTATGCAACAAAGTCACTGTTGACGTTCTATATTTAGACTTATGACGTAATCATTATATACATGTGACGTAACCACTAAAAATGCGACGCGCTGAAAATAAGTACGGAAACAAATCGGGTGCAATTTAGCTTATTATCAGGTACGGCAACATTTATTGTTTATGTCGTGTTAGAATCTAAATAATATATCCAAATCAGTGATTTTATCGCTTGATAACATCACTGTTTGTCGTTCGGATGCGCATCATTATATCACTCGGGCTACGCCCTCGTGATATACTTCCTCGCATCCGAACTCCAAACAGTGATGTTATTGAGCGATAAAATCACTGTTTGGGATATATTATTTCTTAAATAAAAAAGAGATTTGATTAAAATATGTTGATACACATTGAGCGTAGAAGTAAGTTATTTTCCTGACATCAATTGGTTTATTGACGACATATGTCATGTCATATGACCTATAAGCATTTATTTTTGATGTTGTGCATATATTGCATAAAATTGCACTTGATTGCCCTTTCTGTTTGATAGGGGAATAGTGTGAAGGGTGTTAGAATTGTATTTGTTACAGTGAAAGTTTAATTGATTATTAGGTATAACATTAAACATACAGTTGGTTTAATTTTGTTACAATGAAATTTTAATTTATTTGTAGGGGTAACAGTAAAGGTATATGTGGCAGATTTGGAAAAAGATATAATAATAGAGCCGCCAGCCACTGTGAGGGCATATCTGGTACAGACAGTGCAAGAGTTCAAAACCCTTGTTGCCCAGGTTCTGGCATTGAATGAAGAAGATATGAGGTGTGTTCTGGAGCGATTCCACAATGATCTAAAACTTCTTCATATGCCAAATAAAACTTTGAAAAGTGAAGGATTCTTTAAGACTAACAAGGTATGGCAAAACATTTAAATAATGCATAAATCAATTTTTTTGCCTTAAATAGATACTGTAATTAGGTATTTTCAAAACTTGGTTTAGAGTTTAAAGGTATGTAACTGAGCAAAATAAGGTATTTATAGGACAATTGCATGCATTCAAGTTCAAGCCTTGAATGTTGCTTGTGAGCTGTTATATGTCAATATGAACAGGAATTAAGACATAATTACACTCTTACTTATTTCAATAATATAACTCTATATTCTAATACATCTACAGCCTGTACGCTATTTCAATAAGTAGTGTTAAATCTACAGAATGCAGATTTTCATTATACCCCCAAAAACGAAGTTTGGGGGGGTATATAGGAGTCACCCGGTGGTCGGTCGGTTGGTCGGTCGGTCGGTCCAGACGTCCGTTGCATTTTCCTTGTCCGGAGCATAACTTGAAGACTAATAGTTTGAATTCAATATAACTACATACAATGGTCAAGCACATTGAGAGGAAGTGCAGTGCACAAGAACCATAACTCTATCTTGACTAATTACAGAGTTATTGCCCTGTGTTACTTTTCCTTGTCCGGGGCATAACTTGAAAACTACTGGTTGGAATTCAAAACAACTTCATACAATTGTCAAACACAATAAGGGAAAGTGCAGTGCATAAAAACCATAACTCTATCTAAAGTAATTACAGAGTTATTGCCCTTTGTTGCTTTTCCATTGCTTTTTTTTTGTCCGTTGCATTTTCCTTGTCCGGAGCATAACTTGAAGACTAATGGTTGGAATTCAATATAACTACATACAATGGTCAAGCACATGAGAGGAAGTGCAGTGCGTAAGAAACATAACTCTATCTTGACTAATTACAGAGTTATTGTCCTTTGTTACTTTTCCTTGTCCGTGGCATAACTTGAAAACTACTGGTTGGAATTCAAAACAACTTCATACAATTGTCAAACACATTAAGGGGAAGTGCAGTGCACAAGGACCATAACTCTATCTAAAGTAATTACAGAGTTATTGCCCTTTGTTGCTTTTCAATTGCCTTCTTTTTTTGTCCGAGAGCATAAACTTGAAGACTAATGGTTGGAATTCAATTTAACTACATACAATGTCAAGCACATTGAGAGGAAGTGCAGTGCATAAGAACATAACTCTATCTAAAGTAATTACAGAGTTATTGCCCTTTTATTACTTTTCCATTGCTTTCTTTTGTCTGGACCATAACTTGAAGACTAATTGTCGGAATTCATTATAACTTCATACAATGGTCCAGCACATTGAGAGGAAGTGCAGTGCACAAGAACCATAACTCCATTTTGACTTATTACAGAGTTACTGCCCTTTGATTCTTTTCCTTGTCCAGAGCATGACTTTAAAACTACTGGTTGGAATTCAAAACAACTTCATACAATGGTCAAGCACAATAAGGGGAAGTGCAGTGCACAAGAACCATAACTCCATCTTGACTAATTACAGAGTTATTGCCCTTTGTTACTTTTCCATTGCTTTCTTTTGTCCGGACCATAACTTGAAGACTTATTGTTGGAATTCAGTATAAACTTCATACAATGGTCAAGCACATTGAGAGGAAGTGCAGTGCATAAGAACCATAACTCCATCTTGACTAATTACAGAGTTACTGCCTTTGTTACCTTTCCTTGTCCAGAGCATAACTTGAAAACTACTGTTGGAATTCAGTACAACTTCATACAGTTGTCAAGGACATTCAAAGGAAGTGCAGTGCACAAGAGCCATAACTCCATTTTGACAAAATACAGAGTTACTGCCCTTTGATACTTTTCCTTGTCCAGAGCATAACTTAAAACGTACTGGTTGGAATTTAAAACAAGTTCATACAATGGTCAAGCACAATAAGAGGAAGTGCAATGCCCAAGAACTATAACTCTATCTTCAGTATTTATAGAGTTATTGCCCTTTGTTCTTTTTCTTTGTCTTTCTGGACTTATTACAGAGTATTTCAATTAAACTTCATCAATGGCCAACCACATTGAAAGGAAATTTATGCAACATACATGAACCACAATTATCTTTAATTGCCCACAACCATAACTCTATGTTTCAATTCTTTTACAAGGTATTCTGTTACTAGTAACATCCTCATTTCCGAAGCAGACTTGTGGGGGTATTAATCACATTTAGTGATAGTTCTAGTTTTCTTTTACTTGGCACAGCAAATTGTTTTCCATGATATTTGTTTGATGATGATACATCTATTGCCATTGTCCGTCACCAATGTGTTAATGGATTAAAGAAGTAAAGTTGACACTTGTATGGTAACTGCTTGTCTGCTTATGATTATGCTATCTAGCTTGTTAATAAAAGATCTAAGAAGATTAATGGTTCTACTTGTGTGCCCTGCTGCCCACTGGTGCCTGAAAAAAATGCATAGAGGGCCACCTGAGGTATTTCTACACCAGTAATAATGGAAAAGTTCTAATTTTCCTTTTACAGTGTCTTTGTGGATAAAATCAGTTCAAAAATGTTCATATGTAACTTTAGTACTGTTTAACTAACTAAACAAAAATGTAACACTGGTATTTATGTTAGTTAAAGTATTGAGTTATTTTTCAGGTTTATATAGAGTTAAATGCCAGTGAGGAAGATCGGAATACTCAGTTTGATAAAAGTCGTTTCTACAACTTGTTAGATAGATATCAAAACACAATCAATATTCAAGTCAGCTTGCCGTCACTGGGTAATCAATTTGCTCTTTTATTTTAATTGTGTTTGAGATGAGCAGTATATTATCCTCTGCCACAGACATAGGGATACATATAAAAATTTGGCACCATCTGTATCACTTTTCATTTTTGTATGTCCGTCTTTCTAACTTTGACATAAAACTAAAACAATTTTTTATGTTAACCATGTATGGTTATATCGCATTTTAGATAATTACCATATACTTCATATATGGTTGTATCGCTTTTGAGAGAATTGCAGTACTCAAGAACCATAACTTTTCCATAATTCTCTAATTTTTAGGTTATTAGCTTTGCATTTGGTCATGCTTTATTTTAGTGCGAAAATTAACTCAAACAGCATTTGAGGTATCAATTTGAGGATTCACAGATGAATAGATGTCATTGAGAAGAAGTACTTTTAGGAACCATAACTCCTTTGTATAATTTTGGAGTAATTGTCCTATCAACTTGAAACTTCACAAAAGGATATATCACATTTTTTAGAAATGCAATGAATTTTTTCGCAAGAACCATATCTCTTTTCTTTTTTTTTGTATTATTTTCCCTTTGCAATTTTTTGTTAAATATTCAAAGAAATGAAGAAAATATTATTTCCCCCCCCTGTGTCAGCAAAATTTAAATTTTTTTGTGCAAATTGGATTTCCCAAAGCTTTTAAGGAATGGCTGAAAATTACACTTTTTTTAAAGCATTATTGGAAGTCACTTTCAAGCCCATACTCTAACATGATTTGACAGATTATGGGCCCTTTTTTAAATTAAAGACTTGTATATTTCCAACTCTTTTTTACAAAAAAGCACTGAGAAAAGGCTTTTCACGCTACCTCCCGAAAACTCTTGCAAAATTTGATTTTTTTTCAGAACATTTCGAAAAAGGGACAGGAGATTTTTTAAATCAATTATTCCCAATTTTTTGCAAAATAAAAGTAACATTTAAAGGG